CTTAGCATCACAGGATTTTAAAGCTGAAAATAATTGAGAATATAAATTTTGATTTTTCCATTTAATAAATGAGATAACAAATGAGATGACCAATGAGGTAGTTTTCCTGAGCTATATGGAAAGATATAGGACCATGGAGGATTGATAGCAATTATAGGATGGCTTCAGGGATCTTTAAAATTGCAAGCTCTGATATTCATTTAACATCTGAAGGCCTATGTCTTACAGCTTTTGCATATCTGTAACTTCCACATTGCTCTTTGTTCCTTTCTGGCAGTCTACTAGACTTTATCTTCTCATATAGCTACAAACAAATTAATAAAGTTGGATTTAGGTTTACTTAAAACTTATTCTTAAAACATGTCCTTTCATATTTTTAAGAGTGACTTCGTGAAGGACAGGGGTTTTGTCTTGTTCTACAGGGCCTCCTAGTCTCAAGAGTTAAGCTAATTCTTGTCTCTAGGCCTTTGTTTATGCTGTTCTCTCTGCCTGGAATACTCTGCTGCCTCTTTGTCCTTAAGTTCCATGTTATCAGTTTAATATCAACTCATTTTTCAAGTCTGACTTCTTGAACTTGGATACACCTTGTAGTCTTTCATCATTTGTGAAGTAGAGGAATATACTAAATGATTTCTGCAAGGGTTTTCTAAACTGTCACTAATCCCCACTAAACTGTTAGATGTCCCTGATATTAGCTGAGAAGAGCACCTCCTAGATTTTCATCCATTTTTCTTTGCTAATATGGACATTATATCTGTCACTGTACTTGTCAGTACAGCTTTAGTAGCATCCCACAAATTTTTATGACATATTTCATATATTTTATGTGAATATGTTTACCTATTATTTGGATATGTTAAGTGGTGCTGTGTTTGTCATAGAATCAATCTTTGTACTTTACTATTCTTAATTGTGAAAACTCAAGTCTTTTTCATCTTTTGCCTTTTCTGTCTTCTCTGTGAACTACTGCTATTTTCTTATTATCTTCATAGACCTCAAGTTTTTACCCCTATCTTAAATTATTTAGTTTGTATTTGAAAGTGGAGGTTTTATTGTTTTATAAACATGTGCTTATAATACTGTCTAATAAAGAGGAAATATGGAAATTGATTGTAATTCCACAACAAAGGTGGGGCGTCCACAGCCAATAAGAAGGGAATATGCAAATTGACAGGACAAATATGGCAGCGGCTGGGCCAGGAAGCTTGCAATAAGTCAAGCAGATGAACAGCATGATGAGTGCTGTCAGCAGGCCCATGCTGGCTGTTCACTGCTGTGACAGCAACGTGGGGCCCTGGTGGGGGGCAGCAGTGAAGTAGGCGGCAATGCGGGCACCAGCAGTCTCCCTGTGGTAGCTGTGCTGTTGGGGAGAGGGGCAGCTGATGACAGGTTACAGAGCTTGGCGGTTCCCAGGGCTAGCGCCCTGTGCCCATGCTGAGCTGTGGAGGCTGGGGGTAAAGGGTGTGGTGGGGTTGGGCCACATTTAGGGAATACTTCAGAGGTCAGGGCCGCTGAGCCCACGGAGGGATGTCATGTCCACATCAGGGCAGCCGTGACGTGGAGCTGGAGGCATGGGCACCAGGCGCCTTCCCTGCTGGAGCTGCATGCTGTGTCCGCTGCTGGAGCCCAGCGGAGGCAAGCTGGAGCCACTGCCGCTGTTGGAACAGCTGCCAGGACCTCAGCATGTTTCTCATTGTGCTGAGCCTGCAGCCCAGGCACCCAAAACCCATCCCACCCCGCTCCCACTCCCCCAAGCCAACCTCTGGAGCCTCACATCAGACTCCTGCAGCCAACCTGGATACGCCCTTAGCTGTATCCCTCTAACCCCCGCCTCAACTCTCCGCATTCTCCTCACATCCACAGTTCAGAGGCTCTGGGGAGTCCTCTGCAGATCTCTCAGCTAGTGCCTCCCGGGCGCCTGCTGGTTCCTGTAAATGCACCCCTTTCTGCACCCACTGGTTCTGACGTCCCATTTCCCCAAGCTCCCTACAACGTCTGGCTCTCACCTACATCCCTGCTAGCTCCTGAGACCCACACTCTCTCCTGCACCCTGTTCCTTTCCGCTCTTTTGCCTCCAGCGTTTAGCTCTCTCCTGTGTCCCTGCTCCCTGGATCCTCGTCTACCTCTAGTGCCCAGATTTCCAGCCGGGCAAGCCCACTCTCTCTTTCGCTGAGAGGGAACCTCAGCGTTCTCTAAGTGCCCAAGAGCTTTGGACAGCCTGTCCACGAGGGTTGGAGTAGTTTGGCTGAGAGATTGTTCCTGAGATCAGACAGCGTAGCAGAATGTGTGTAAAACCCTTTCCCCTTCTAGTGGGTACCCAGCCAGCCTGCACTCTGCCAGCTCCAGGGATTGAAAGCGGATGTTCATGGTTAGAGGAAACTTTCCAGCCCAGCCCCTGGCTAAAGCAAACAGTGCGTCTGTCAGGGATGCTCACTGAGTGCTGTTCTTGCCAGGAGCTTGCATTCCACTATGGAAGATACAGCAAGGAAGCTATGATTAGTGCATCTGACAGCTAGCACTGAGGATGGGTAGGGAAAACACACACTCCCCAGTCCCATCTGGTAAATCTGAGTACGATGCAACCGTGTGGTGTGTGCCTGTACAACAAAGAGAGAGCGTAAGGAAATGCAAATGTTTAAGTGTAGAGTAAATGACACTGCCACCAAGAAAGAGCACACTTAATTACACTTTGGACATTACACAGTCAGTAAGGACACCTGTATTTTGTGCTTTATGATTCACATGATCTGATCATTTGAGTTGGGCCAATACAAACAAAAACGCACTGTTGGTTTTAGTTGAGGTAATGAACTAAGATTTCAGATTTCTTATTTGTTTTCTCCTTTGCCCAGGTTTTCAGGTTCTTAAAACTCTAGGATTAGCCGGGACCGGTTTGGCTCAGTGGATAGAGCGTCGGCCTGCGGACTAAAAGGTCCCGGGTTCGATTCTGGTCAAGGGCATGTACCTTGGTTGCAGCCACATCCCCAGTAGGGGGTGTGCAAGAGGCAGCTGATCGATGATTCTCTCTCATCGATGTTTCTAACTCTATCCCTCTCTCTTCCTCTCTGTGAAAAGTCAATAAAATATGTTAAAAACAAAAAACAAAAAAACATAAAAAACCTCTAGGATTAGTTTTGGGAAGGATGAGAGAAGAAAATATATAAATACTCAGGAGGATTAAAATCAGATAGCAGTTGAGATTATAGCCATAGTGTTTGAGTTGATAGATGAATCGGTTTGAAATTCGTGAGCCTGGCATCTGGCCAGGCTGGGTGCACAACACTTGGGTCATTGCAGGCCGGGCTGAGGGATACCCTCCCGCCCCCCTCATGAATTTCGTGCACCGGGCCTCTAGTGCCGTGGTCAGCAAACCGCGGCTTATGAGCCACATGCGGCTCTTTGGCCCCTTGAGTGTGGCTCTTCCATAAAATACCACGCCTGGGTGAGTCTATTTTGAAGAAGTGGCGTTAGAAGAAGTTTGTTTTAAAAATTTGGTTCTCAAAAGAAATTTCAATCGTTATATTGTTGATATTTGGCTCTGTTGACTAATGAGTTTGCCGACCACTGCTTTAATGTATTCTTTTAAAAAGCATATATTTTCTGCTCTTTCCAAACCCCTTCTTCAAGTGAAAATAATTGGTCTCCTTTATTATTAAACTTTGTGCTTACATGATGTAAGCATGCTGGAAAATTATTAGACCACTTCCCTTGTTTTAATTTTTAATATCTCAGTACTGGTATAAGTAAGGTGTCAAATTAGAAATATTGACAAGTATTGCCATATAGTTACTTGGGACCTGAAGAACAGTAAGATTCTTGTGGTGTTTTGAGTACTTCCATTTATGGAAGATTTTTTTAAAAACTGGTTAAACTTTTTCAGGCCACCAAGGTGATATTGAATACAACACTGCACCTTATTACTGAAGTTTTATTTAGTTAGTTTTCTATGCTATTGCACCAGTTAGCTAAAAAGAATGTTGGGCAGCAAAACAACCTAATTTTACATAAACTTTTATTTTTGTGTCAAGAGCTCTGAAGTGTCTGAGATTTTTTAAAAAATATATTTTTTTATTGATTTCAGAGAGGAAGAAAGAAGGAGAGATTAAAACATCCATGATGAGAAAGAATCATGGATCAGCTATCTCCTGCAATTCCCCCACTGGGGATTGAGCCCTTGACTGGAATTGAACCTGGGACTCTTCAGTTCACAGGTCGATGCTCTATCCGCTGAGCCAAACCAGCTAGGGCAGAAGGGTCTGAGATTTTTTACCCTACTTGCAAATTAACAAGTTTCACAAGTGCTTATAGAAGACACAGTATTCCTGGTCATTGTCAAAGGACAGAATATTACTGGAAGCAGGAGAAGTAGCCAGAGCAGTGGCATTTGCACCAGTTCCCCGAACCTCAGTTTTCACAGAATGACACAGAGAGCGGTCTGGGTGACAGCCCCTAGGATCCCCTTACAGGTCTCTTCCATCCTATAATAGAAATAACACTGAAGCCTGGCTTCCTCTGGAATTCCAAAACTACATTTCTAACCTGCCAGCTGAGTATTTCCTTTCAGATGTTCTGCCAATACCTTACCAAACTTGTAGCTCTATATTGACAAAAAGTTTAGAAGCAAAACATATGTTATTATTTTAATATTTTATCCTGTTAAAGGAAATTCTCCAATAGATTATTTTGATGAACCTTTATGGTCTTTTTTAATGTATTTTGTTTTATTTTACTTCACAATTCTAAAGTATCTGTCTTTTCCTATTTCATATCAGTTTGTTGTATTTTCCCTACCAAACTAAGCATGTGGAGTTTTGCCTTTATTCCCCACATTATTCCATATTCTTCACCACCCTCCCACCCCCATATATACACACAAGCTCAACACATTTGAAATGCTAAAATATGCATGAGGTTTTGGGTTGTTGTTATTTTTAATGGTAATGGTTCAGTCTGTATTTATGGGATAAAAGATAAATATTGTGTTAATTTGCTCTTTGTAGGTCTCAGTGCCTTGCGGAGAGTCATGAAGAAACAGCCTAACCTCCCTGACAGCAAGGTGGCTGCATTGGTGAAGATCACTCTGAATGATTTCTTGCAGGGAATGAATGAAATCAGGCCCAGTGCCATGAGGGAGGTTGCAGTTGATGTCCCAAGTGTAAGTCATTTGTACCCCCCATGCATGCCACACTGTATGAATTCAACTCTGAAAGAAACTGACTCCAGGGAAACTACCTTCCTAGGCTAAACTTTAAAAAAATGTTTTTTAATTGAAAATTTTGTGGGGATAATTGTAGATTCAATGCAGTTCTAAACAATACTTTAGAGAGATCCTGTGTATTGTTTACCAAGTTTCCCCTGGTGGTAACATCTGCAAAACTAGAGTACATTATCACAAGCAGGATATTTATATTGTTGTAATCACTGATCTTATTCAGATTTTCCCAGAGTTACTTGTATTCATTTATGAGTGTGTATATTTACACTTATGCAGTTTTATTACACGTAAAGGTTGTGCATCTTGCCAGAATCAAGATGCTAAAAAGCACCACCACTACAGTAGTCCTCTGCTTTGCCCTTTTACTAGTATAATAATCACACCCACCTTGTTTCTACACCCATCTCTAAACTGCTGTCATTTCAGAAATGTTATATTAATGGAATTATATAGTATAGAGCAGTTCCAGATTAGGTTGTTTCACATAATATAATTCCCTAAAGTTGCATCCAAATTGTTATGTGTATCAATAGTTTGTTCTTTTCTATTGCTGAGTAGTAGTCTGTGGTATATGTACCATAGTTTAACCACTCACCTGTTTGTTAAAGGATATCTGGGCTGTATCCATTTTGGGGCTATTATGAATAAAGCTGCCATGAATATTCTTGTACAAGCTTTATGTGAATGTAAGTTTTCATTTCTCTGGAATAAATGTCCAAGAATGCATTTGCTGGGTAGCATACTAATTGCATGTTTAGTTTTATCAGAAAATGTCAATGAGGCTAATTTCAGAACAAAAGTATCTTCTAGTTATGATGCCTTCTACTAATGATGCCTGATGGATTGTGGGGTCCTTTTACATTTAGTTTATCATAGATAGTCTTTGCAAAGTTCTCAATCCAATCACCACAAGGGCAAGAAGTTACCTTTCCTGTGTGGATCATCTGTTACGTCCTCTGTGTCCCAAGTGGGCCGGTTATCTTAATACTAGAGGTCTGATGCATGCAGATTCATGCAAGAATAGGCCTTCCTTCCCCTAGTGCTGGTACGCAGGACCTGGGCCTTCGCTCTGGCCCCTGCCCACTGCCTATGCTGGCCCAGAGTCACCTTCTGCCTTCACGCACTGCCCAGAGGTGGTGTGGAATGCCTGAGTCGTCGTCGTCGCAATGGCCCAGCTGCGTCACTTTGCATATTCCATCTTTATTAGATAGGACTAGGAGCACAGTGCGTGATTTGAAATCTCACAGCACCACCCACCCTTGAATGGATGGTCCGGCTCTGCCTTGCTCCCCAGACCCCACAGCAGCCATGACTGCTGCCAGTCTGGCCCTGCCTCGCTCCCTGGGCCCTGCAGCAGCCGTGGCCACTGCTGTTTGGGCCTGCTTCCCTCTTCGGCCCTTGAAGCAGCCCCAGCTGCTGCTGATCAGGCCCTCCCTCAGCACACATGCTCGGAGGCCCCTGCCACCCTGCCCATGATGCTGTGTGCGCAACTTCCTCCTGTCTGGTTGACCTGTTATGGCATTCCGGTTAATTAGCATATTTATCTATTTTATATATAGATATTGGTTTCTGGAAAATGAACATTGAAACAAAGTATTGGTAGTATTGCGGTAGAGATGGGCCATTAAGCTTGTCTGACTGAACTGTGTCTCTGTGTTGCTCAAGGAAAGTTAACAGATTGCTCTCTTATCAGTTTTAGGAGAGTTCTGATAGAAGAGTGGAATTTTGGACTGTTCTTTCCTTTTGCCTTTATAATATCAGACCATTTAAATTTCTCTTTTGAAGTAGTCCTGTTGCTGCTGAGACACTCTTTTAAAAGCTCTAACATTATAGCTATTTGAAAACATAGAGCCTTGTTAGAGAGTAGATGTAATTTTGAACCATTTGCCTCATTGTGTATAGATGCGTTAATATTCACAGTTTTCTTGGTCATTAACATTTTTTAATCGTAAGCTAAAAAGTAAAAGATTCAAAAGATAGCAAGTCAACAGACTGGGGGCAGCTCCTGTGTTGAGCATCTGCCCTTGGTGGTCAGTGCGAATCATAGTGACCAGAAGTTCTGGCATTTGGTCAACCCTATAGTAGGGTTTTACTATATAGGATAAGTTTGGGAAATGTTGGTATAAATAAAATCAACTGTATTTCTTTGCTGTAGGATTTCTCAGTCTTTTGATATAGAGACTGAAGTGTCAAAAGAGCTGTTATGGACACTTATTTAACCATGGACAATGTGGAACAGGGACTTGTGCATTTTTGCAGTGTGTCAGATTGCTAAAAATGACCACAAATTTTTCTCATTACCACGTGTTTGCCCTTTGTACTGTAACTTTGTAGTACCGTGTTTCCCCGAAAATAAGACATCCTCCGAAAATAAGACAGCGTATGGAAAGATAAGACATCCCCTGAAAATAAGACCTAGCGCAACTTTGGGAGAAAAAATTAATATAAGACACTGTCTTATTTTTGGGGAAACAGGGTAGTACCTGTATAAAAGAGATAAAAGTTAAGTTTTTTCCCTTTTGAATCTGTACTTGGCCATGTAACTTGCTTTTGCTAATAGGATATTTACAGTCATGATGCAAGCAAGCTTGAAAGCACTTGGGGCTTGCCAGCTTTTGCTGTCTTTGAAGAAATCTGTACTCTCCTCCTGGGGGATGAGAGATCATGTGGAGCAGAGATAAGTCCTCCTACCTGAGATCCCCTTAGTCCAGCCACCTACCCAATTATCAGACATGTTGCCACCCCAATTGAAGTTGCCCAGATCAGAACCCCAGTAAACCCTCAAAATTGTCAGAAATAATATGTCTGTTGTTTTAGCCACTAAAAGCTAAGTGATACACTTGTTAACTTAAAGAACACAATTATTTTGTAAACAGTGCCCCAGAGATGGGAACATCCCCAGGGCCTACATGCTAGTTTAGGCTACTTACTGTGATTTTGAATTCTTTTTGAAACATTTTTAAATTTACTTACTGAACTTACAGCCTACCTTTGGAGTTTTTCAGAAGCTCTGTTGGAGAACATGCTAATTTAGTAAGAATAATTTTACAAATAGGGTTATGAAATAGTGAATGGTTAATGTTGGGTTAGTAGAAACTTTTCATTTCTTTGGAATTTATGATCTAAAGTTTGGGCACATTGGAATGAATACTTTTATTTGCAGTATTTATCTTAATTTTATTGGCTACTGTTGCATAGTATAATGGGTCAGGTAGATGCTAACCATAAAATGCCACATGTGAAAATTTCAGATGATAGGGCTATAAATCAATTACACCATCCAAAAACACTTCAGTTTAAAAAAAAAACTTTAGGAACTAGGGAAACATACAGTGAGGTTTTAAACTTCAAGTTGCTGCCAGTGGAGAATGTGTTTAAACAGTGGCTGTCAGCTCTTGGACCTGCTGAACTGATTTATTCATTGCAGGAACTGGTACTATAACTGCATTTTTAATTGAGCTAATGAAAGATTTTTTCCTTTATTTTCTTTTGATACAGTATTTACAATCCATGGGCTGGTGCCATTTTCCATTTGGCACTTTATGGTTTGGCATGGGGCCATGGTGTCCTGTGATGTTACTCATGAGCTCCGGCATGGTTAGCCCTGGTCAGAGGGCTTTCTTATATTGCTTGTTATGCTCACTTCAGATTGTAAAATTTCCTGAGAAGTCAACATTTCTATAATTGGATTCCTAAACTTCACCTTCTGATTTCTGGCTACTATAGCTACAAAAATATCTCCAAGTTATTTCTGCAGAACGTTTAATGCTTATTTTGCTATAGAAAACCTGTTTCAAGTAGCTATTTAATTGTGAACATTTTTTAATAGTAAATTGATCATTCAACATCTTTTGAGAAGAGATTCTAGTGTGTGAAATTAAAACCTTGAAATCACACTTGCCTATTTATATTTAAGTTTGAAAGAAATGTTTTAAGATGGGAATGTTGCCAGTTATAATATAATACATTATTACTTTTAGGAGACCATAAGTGTTAGCCACTTACTTAAATTAATGGTTCTTCCCCCCCCCCCCTTTTTTTTTTTGGACATTCTGAAATGGTGATTATACCAGTTGGTGTATTAAAAGTCAAATGCATTTTACAATTAATTGGTAATTAAAATCAAATGTATTTCTTTACCACAAGAATTCCTAGAATCTTTGAATATTCTAATATGTATTGTGAAAGTTCAATTTTTCACTCAGAGATAACAACTGTTAATATTTTGTTATAGTTCCTATAGATTTTTAAAGATTTTTTTTCTGTGTAGATGGATATTTTAGTATAGGATATAATTTTATATTCTGCTTTTTTTCACTTAAAATTATATGGTAAACATTTTATTTTAACATTTATTGGCTAATATCTTTTTAATGGCCAAATAATAGACTTAGTTAGATAAACTGTAGTTTGTTTTACCCTTCCATTCTCAAATATTTAGGTTTTTTGTTTTTCTTTAAAATGGTTATAAACATGATTTGTGTCCAAATCTGCATTTATCATTCCTAGAAGTTGAATTACCAGACTAAAATATCTGCTTTTTCAAGCTAAGTTGTTTTTTTTTCAAAAAGATTGCTCTAATTTACTAGTATAATTGTGTGATACAATTTTTAAATTAGAAAGAGCTTCAACAAAATTTTATTATATTAGTCCTTTTTTATAACTCTCTACTACAGTTTATTTTCTTGACTGAAAAGATCCTCTTTATTATTATGAGGAACGCCGCAGCAGATTTGGCTCTAGATAGAGTGTTGGCCTGTGGACCGAAAGGTTCCAGGTTGGATTCCAGTCAAGGGCACATACCTCCTACCTGGGTTTCAGGCTCCTCCAGTCCCTGGTCAGGGCATGTGCAGGAGGCAACAAACTGATGTTTCTTTCACATCAATGTTTCTCTCTGTCTTTCCGTCTCTCTTCCACTCTCTCTAAAACAAAACAAAAAC